CGAGGTCAAAAATTAGTGTATTTATTTGACTGTCGAAATCCGATTATTCAACTATGCATGACACTATCATATCAGCAGAGACGCAATCAGAAAAGGGTATTTTTCACAACAATGTCAAAGACATATACATTTCTTAAAATAATGTTTTGTCATATGAAATACTTTATTCAACAAGCATCATCATATATGATACGAGAATATTTATTCATATCTATATCAAGTTTCAGGATTCCTTCTACATATTATTGGCTAATATTTTCACTTTTTTATTTTTTTAATTTTTAATAAAAGTACTGGTCCAAATTCTACTATATATTTTATAAGTTATACTATTACTAGTGTGTATATAATTGTTAAAATTTATTATTAGTATGTCAGTGTTATGTAATTATTAATATTTTGTGAATGTTTACTTTGAAATACTATAAGACCTTCAAACATACATATATTTTAATAGGCTATATTCTAATTAATTGTATTTATCAATAATTATAAAACTAATAAAAAAGTAAGACAAAAAAATAATGACTAAATAGCAACTGAATCAAAGACTACGTCACTAGCCCGTAATATTTTGACTTACTAAAATCAGGTTTGCTATATCTATTGGTGACGAATGCTCTACGTATGTATACATATATACATACATACATACATATATATGCAAAACATATATTATTCTTATAAGTACCATTATTATGGCCATCTACTTTTACATAGTTTTTTTGTTTTTTTTTTATCGTATTCTTTTCCCGAAAGAAATTATTCGCAAAAGCAAACAAAACTTATAAAGTATACGAAAGAAAGTTCAGTTTGGAGTATGCTTCAAGAAGATAAGATTCGCTTATTAATCTATACAAGTTGTTTTTCTCCCTTCGTATATATACGTGTATATCTACAGATATATATATATCTCCGCCTCTTTATAAGTAAGATGCTTGTCGGTGTACATATATACACACACACACACACACATACATATATAAACATAAAGCACTTATAAGACAAAAGAAAAGGTTACGTTATAATTTGGTTGCCTTAATTTGGTTTGTTTTAATATAAATTTTAGTGGAATCCACGTTACCTTTTAATTAATTTCTGCTAATAACTTTTACGTTCAATAATTAGATGAACAATTTTTTAGTACAACATAATAAATAATGATGTTATGTTAAAATTAATAGCTTAATCATAAATTAAAACTTAGATAAATGTTAATCAAAACTTGTTAGTTACAATTGGATGTTTTTACAAGGTTGAATGTTATACTTCATAATATGATGATTATAAAAGTAAATTAACAGCTTAATCAAGGAATTGAATAGGATTATATAAATTAGTGTAATATAATAAATTTATTTTTTTCAAAGTATAACTTGGGAATGAGGAGAGATATATATATATTATTTTAAAGTTTTATATTATGTGCCAATATTTGGAGCATATTTATTAAATTAAAAACAGCGAACAAAATTATTCCATCATTTTTTATATTGTTGTGTATTTTTTTTTAGAATACCAAATATTGGGAGTGAATTTTGTTAAAATTTTTAATTTAATAAAAATTTGAATGAAATTATCTAAGTCAAATTTATATATAATTCAAATATTTTTTGATACTTTTGTTATGAAATTGAATATATAAAAGTGAATCTAATTATAGACAAATATAATATGTAATATATTAAATAATTAATATTTAATTATATTAAATAGTTCATTTTTATTAATTAATAAATTATTTTAATTTTGATTAAATAGATTAAATTAATAAAATATAATAATCATTAAAAATGCTATTGATAAAAGTCTACTTTATAGTTTTTTTAATTTTATATTTTATGAAAATAAAAAAAACATATTTTCTTGTGTCTCTCTTTTTTATATATTTACTGACACACATGACATAACGGAACAGTAAAACTAATAAAAGAGACTGACATGTGTCAGTTGACGTGGCAGTACAAAAAGAATCTGGACCGTTAGATGAGCATCCTGAAGAATTGGTGGGTAATTATTAAATTAAATATATTTTGGAAATAAATGAGGCTGGCTGGACCGTTAGATCTAACAAACTCCTCGTGATAAGTGAAAGCAACAACAACAACAACAACCATCCCTCCTCCGTATCATGTGATCTCTTTAACATCCTCTTCCTCCACTAACAACACGTGGCCCCATCCATCATCAATCTTTATAGATAGATCTCCCTAATTAAATATATCTACTAGTATATAATTTATTATTTAAAATTAAAATATTGTATAAAACTAATTATTGATGCTAAATTTATTAGAGTAATAAATAGTCTCATGGTAAATACTGGATATCAAACCAGAGTTTACAGAAAACATAATTACAAAATTAAAAATGCTAACATAGATATATATTGTGGCGACTGACAAATGATAGTCGGTGACTAATAGAGAGAGTTGGGTGAAGTTAAATGAATAAGAACATACAATTTTTAAGTTAGTCAAAAATATTACAAGCAAAATGAACTTTTTAAAAGTTTAGTAAGGTAAACATGCTTTTGATTTTATTCAGTTAATTGCAAAGTAATTTGAATTGCAGAAACCCAGTACAAAAACGGGCATATATATATATATATATATATAGACAATAGTTTGGAAATTAAACTACATTAATTAATTTTTGTAACACTAATTACTTCAATTAGTAATTAGTAAACAAATGTTTGTTTATTCTTTAAATACAAAATAACATGCTAATATATTATTTAGAGTTAATTTAATTACCACTCCAGTTTTAACCAACGGTTAACAAGTTTTAGAAAACTTTTGGAATTCATTATTTTATAAATATATAATATACTAGTAGGAGATTAGTAATAACTGATTGGCGGTTGAATTTTTTTAATTAAAATAAAGTTAATAATAAATATTAATTTAATAATGGGAATTATGAAATATAGTTGGGTATTTCTTCTGGGTCCTTTCAATCAAATCTGGCAATAATGATGACGTTTGACATTTTGTATATTATTTTATTAAGTTAATTACAAAATTGGAAAAAGGATGAATGTGAAAAAAACGTGAAAGGCAGAGCAAGTTGACAGAGTACGCTAATCGAGGGATCGGCTATAGCCTCTACCAGCTGAGCCTGAGCCAGCACTTTTAGAAATTTGAGATGGCATGATTGTGTGAGCCGCGCCGGTTAAGACGTTCAGCTCATTCCTTGGGCTCCACGTAGACGAGGAGCATCGGCTTGGATGGAAGATGGGGGCATAATTATAAATACAAGTAAATGGTGGGGTCAAAATGAAAAAAAAAAAAAAAAAAAAAAAAAAAGTAAGAAATGATCAAGTGGAGAACGTATTGTTTGTTTGGGACAATGAGAAAGTGGTTGTCGGCTGGCCGAGTGGGCAGATATTTGGTGAGGCCATCACAATAAGAGCCCGGACCGAGTAGGTGGACCATATTACGCTTTGGTGGGACCCTCTTTTTTATTTTCTGATTTTCTTTTTCTTTTTATTTTTTATTTTTTTTGCCGTACTTGATTTGTCTTCAAACTCACGTGCCCTTCTTGAGGAAACTAATGACGTCGTCTTCAGATTTTTACCCAAAAATGTTAAACCAAACCAACACCTTCTCGTCCCTTCTTATCAAATAAACCCTAATAATTTATTTAAATAATAATAATATATTCTACATTATTTAAATATATTAAAAAGAGTACATAAATAAAAGGGTATTTCATTAAATATATATATAATTTTTACTAAATAATTAATTGGTAAATATAATATTTTAGAAGAAAAATGATGCGAGAGAAATGAATGAATGGATAACAGCAAGAAAAGTTTTTAATTCTTTATAAAGTAAAGAAGCATCAAGAATTAATGAAATGCGGATTTTTTTTTTTTAATATAAATTATGACATGTTCCTTCTTTTAATTTAATATTTTATTTAATTTATTAATTTATATTCATCATTAATTACCCAATAAAAGTCGCCGACGAAATCAACAATCAATTTGCCCACAACTTTCCCGAACACCAAATCCAACATTAAAGTCCGACTCAATGCCTTGTCAACCCTCCCAATAATTAATCAATATTAAATTTTCATTTAAATAATTAACGCTTTCTTTAATTTAATTTTAATAAATTACTATTAACCAATATATTTAAATGAAAATAATTTTAAAAAAAAATGTAAATTTTTATGTTCCAAATCAAAACTCAAAATACCCGCAAATTGATTCACACATGACACACCACCTTCATTTTATTTTATTAAAAAATTCCCTTCACAAAAAAAGCATCCCACTGATTTGACCAAAATACCCTTATTCTTTTCCGTTTATAACATATTCCTACCAACCCAACAGACCCTTGGAAGTTGGAATCCGAAAGGCAGCCATGGAAATAGCCAAAAACAAACGGGAAAAAAGATCCAACGGCCAAGATTGACCGACGGCGTGGGGCCCATCTGACCGGACTTGGAGACGAAATTCAAACCAATTTAATAATTTTCCTCTCGGAAAGAAAAGTGAAAGCGGACCCCGAAGATTTCAAAATGTATTTTCTTTTTAGAAAATAGCAAAATACGGCAAGACCTCCGTGATGGTCTATGTATTCTCATCTCCCACGCGCCTGCGTCTCCATCATTTCTCACTCTCTTTCTGCTCTCTCTTTCTCTCTCTACTCTCTCTCTACTTTCGTCTCCACTATATAACTTCGTGTTCCCCTCATCACAGCCACACATCTCCTCATTGCAAAAGATAAACCCTAGCCCTACCCAGGCCCGTCATTTCTTTTATTCTCCCATGGAGGAGTCGGTTAACAACAAGAAGCGAGTGCGTGATGACTTGGGCGAGCCGGATCTCGACTCGCCGGAGGTCAAGAGGTTACGGGATGATCTGTTGGATATCCTCGATGACTCGGACCATGATCCCGCAACTCAGGACCTCGACTCAGTTATGAAAAGCTTAGAGGAAGAAATATCGGCTTCTTCCTCGTCTCCGCCGCCGGTCGTCGATCAAACGTCAGATTCCGGCGAGTCACAGCCGGAACTCGGTTACCTTCTAGAAGCCTCTGACGACGAGCTGGGTTTGCCTCCGTCCTCTGTTGCAACCTCTACAAGCGAGGTCGAGCAGAGTCAGGATGAGACTGCGGCGGAGTTGGAAAGATTGGCCTCTAACTCGTCCGCGATCGGTGAGTTTTGGGGGTTTGACGATCAGATCCCGAGTTACGACTCGTTCGGGCTCGGGATCAATGACGATTACAGCGGTGACTACGTTGCATTTGGTGGATTGTTCGAGTATTCTGACTCGTGCTTCGATTCCTCTGACGTCCAGGTTTTTTCGTGGCGGGAGGAGACTCAGCCGGCGGAGTAAAGCCGGTTTGGACGGAACGATGCCGGCATGTAAATTTGTTTGTTTGTTTTAATTTTCAGGGGTTACATATGGAGGAAATATATTTAGAAGTAGGAAGAAGGAAAATGAAAATTACAGGTGTAGATTAAGTAGTGAAAAAGAATTGGTTCGTTTTTTGAAGATGGATTTAGTTGATCCCGGGGACTTCTCTGCACGAACCCTTACTATTTCTATATTTTGAACCCTTTAAGGGAAACAAATGTTCAGTTTTCAGTTGAAGAAATACAGATCTAAAATATTATCATTGAACCAGAACCCTTTGGTATTTGTGGTTTAGAACAAAGATTCATCATATGCAATTTATGAAAAAATTAATAATTTTTGTGAAGTGTATTTAAAATTCTGCATTTTGTTGAAGGAATAACGAAAATCATTCTCCGAGTAAGAACAGAAAATAAGCATATTTTAACTTGTAAGACATGTAATAAACAAATCCTTTGATCGGTTCAATGTTCAATAATCGGTCAGAAAAGTTGAATAAGATGACCGGGTTACGAAGAGGACAAATCCATATCAGGGCTGTTGCCAGATGAAGATTTCAGAAATATTAGTGATTCCATTTTGTAGGATTGACCCGGTCAATTTTAGCTCAATAATGGATCAGAAACTTCAGTTGATTGTATTTTTTTATATTAACGTTTGAAACATATTATAAATTTCTCCATGCGTACATTGACCAAGAGGTTTAGAAAGCATTATCTAAAGGGCAAGCAAGTTGAAGTCAACTAAGGTGATTTGTAGTTGGGTGAGATTTTAATTTCAAGTTACAGGTTATGATAGAAACCCTAATTTCCATTCATGTTTTGAGAAAGATTAATATATATTATGATGTTTAAAAAAAAAAAGAAAAAGAAAGGTGAAATCTGAGAAAAGTAGAGGTTTTTTTGTTTTTTTTGCGTGATTGGGGGTGGGAAATGGTTTAAGTAAAAGATCAAGAAAGTAGGTGAAGAAATGAGACCCTATCTATCCTCTGCAGTGAGAATAAACCAAATCTGAAAAGTAATTAAGAGGTAGGAAATAAAGCATACTATGTATAAACCAAGTTAGAAGCAAAGAAAACCTAAAAGGTTATTTCTACATATTTAAGTTAGTTTTAACTCTTCTTTAGTGTAAATTCCTTACATATATTATATTGTACTTAACAAAAATTGGTAAAAGGCTCAAAATAATTATAATAATAAGGTAAAGAAAGTGCAAGAGGAAAAGTATAGTATTGAAATACATCATTGTCGCCACCTTATTTAAGAGCCTCCCACCCAATGGACCACAACCCACATTTTCCATGAAACCAAAATTATAAAAAAAAAAAAAAAAACTATTTGGTAAAATAAATTAGTGTAGTATTAAAAATAATAATAATAATAATCATGCGTTATAGTTTGGAGAATGACTAGATACCATTTCCAAACACACAAAAAACCTCTCATCACCCTTTTTAGAGATGTAAATTATTCCATTAGGGTGTACTTATACAAGAATAAATATAATGACAATAATGGGAATTGAATAAAAGTAACAAACAAGAAAAGTATGAGATGAACCTTTAGATATAGTAGCCTACTTACAACATTTATCTCATGTTTCACGTGAAATAACAATAGCAAAACTCTACCGATGCCAAAGCAACAATGGTTGACACTATGAATTGTCGAGCAAAATAAGGGATGTGGGTCAATAAGGATAACTAAAGAGAAGTGATGATCCTCACAACTTATGTCAAATAAATGAAAAAGAAAGGAGTGAACAAAAAGAGAGTTATATAAAATGCTCTGCCCATTCAAAGTATAACTTTTCTTTTGTCCATTGAATTAGATTTCTTTTTTTCTTTTTTTTTTTTCAGAAAGTATCATATTCACTTTTATTTTTATTTTTTAGGTATTTTTTACTTTTTGATAAAGTATTAAGTTTGTATATTTTTAAGTTTTGAAATATTAATTTAATTAATTAAATTAAAAGGGTTTTCAATTTTGGTCAAGAATTTACATCTTGCAATACTAAATCAACAATGTCCGGCCCAAAGTGGAGAAATGCTAATGGCCCACGGCCCAATTTGGATTTAAGAATAAAAAGGCAGCAATAAGATTTTGTAATATAATAAATAAAAAAAGTCTCAAAATATTAAAATAAATCAACTAAAAATATAAATCTATTCACAAATACAAATTTTAGTATTTAGAATTATTTTAAATATAAATCCTATGTAGAATGCATTTTGAAACTCTATTAACATGATGAACTTTAAAAATAAAATTGTGTTTTGCATTTTACTTTTACTTTTTTTTTTCAAATATAGTGGTGTAATATAAGTTTACAAAATTTCATTTATTCTTCTGGAATATAATGAATATATTTGATATATTAATCAATTAAGAACACAACCATCTTGTTGAAATATGGTACCCAAAAAAACATACAGCTATAATGAAATATGAGAATCACGGATAAAACAGCCTTCGTAACTAAAGTATGTGCCACGATATTACAACTTTTAATAACCTAAACAAAATAAAAGGAATTAAAATAAATTGTAAATGATAAAAATTGTTTCAAATGCATTTCAAACTTTAAAAAGGCTAGTGCTTCAACATTAGTAAACTTAAATACCATTTATGAGCCACCCAACTATTACTTCATTTTACTTTTCCTCACATCAACTTTGAAACCATATAGTATAGCCATGGTATCAGCATATCCACTAGAGTGGGAGTACAGATCTCACATGTCAATAAACATGACTTCTCCATTCAAATCCCGATAAATAATGCCCAGATCAACCCATTACTCTTTACCAACTGAGGCATTATAATTTAGTTTGAAATTGCCTAGTAGGCAGAGTGACAAACAATTCCCTGTATAGGATTATCATGCCTAGCTAGTGAATGTCCTTCTAAACTATCTCTTTTTAATTTTAATTGTAATTTAATATTATTGCATTTTGTGAATAAGTGTAATGAAATATATATATATTTTTTTATTTTTATGGACCCAATAATTCCTACTCCATCATAAACCCCATAAAATCTAAACCAACTCATCTTTAGGTGTAGAGGATCACTAAGTTTAGCTTTACACCAGTAAAAAAAGATAAAGATGAAAGTTGGTGGGCTCTCGAGGGGCTTACTTTTCATACTTGTTATGCATACATACAGTCTTCAAATAGATGTTCTGTTGTCCCTTCCTTCATCACAATAGGACATATTCAACTAATATACGTTCCTCTTTGTGATAATCTAACTCTTAGTGATAATACATCCTTACAAGCTCTCTATACAAGATGTTTAACTTAAAGGATTGCCAGAGTAATTCCAAATTTTTTGTCAAATAGACTCGTTGCTCTATGATGAAGATCATATCAAAACAACAACTTTACTATGCCTTATAGTAACCGGATTTAACAAAATATGCACCTTTTTTTCGAAGCACCAAGCTCATTGTTAGGTGGTAAAAGGTGACTCAGCAATGTACTTGTCATCAATACAGTATCATGTTATTATACCATATAATAAAGTAATGGAATATTTCATAAAGGATAATGTATAATAATTAAGTAGTAACTAATGATGGGATCAATTTTGGAGCCTTAATCAAATGTCCTAGTTGACAAATTGGTCCACTTTTTCTTCCATATGAGAACTCTTTGACCATTTCCAATCCTCTATGTCAATCATTCTTCAAGTAAGTCTCTACCTGTAAGGATAAGGATGTTGGCCCAAATTTTACTAGCATTATCAAGTTGAAACTTTGAAAATCCCAAAACCCCAATCTTTTTTTTTTGTCTTATTAGAATAAAACTTGGACCATGAGAGCCAATAATCTTAATACTCCCCCTCTTTCTTCCCCCATAAAAATAAGCCACAATTCTTTTCAATTGTTAGCATATTAATTTTGGAATGAGGAAGATACATGTGAAGTAGGATGGAATGGGCTATGCAATTGCCTTGATCATCATTTCTCTCCCTATTTTGATAACTTTATCGAGTTTCAACCCTAAATTGTCTTTTTTTAAAACATGTTTAGTGATTTCTTTTTATTTTAAATATAAAAATTCATGATTCAAATAATGTTACGAATAAATTTCAATATTATTTATTTTTTGCAAACATAATTAAGTTTTGTCCCATTTTTTAGTTTAATTTATTCTCTCATAACATATATACAAATATATATTGTTTTTGACGAGGTCAAAAAGAATTTGAGGACTAGCTATTTATGTAACGACCTGGAACTTGAAAGGAGATAAATTATAAATTGAATGTGGAAGTGAAACAAATAAAGTTAGAGTTTACATTCCTTACACAATAATTCAGAATACCCAATAGAACTACAGAAATAACCCTTCTAAAGGAATAACGAATAATCAAATAAATAAATAGAAAGTAAACAACTGAAAATCCTATTCGCAACCCTCTTGTGGATCGAGATCTGGATATTGGTCCTCTTGATTTGAAAAAGTTAATGAACAAGTGAGCTACACTATCCCAACAAGAATATCACACTACTCGCCGATACAGAAATGAAGGTTGGTAAAAATTATGAAAACACTAATGGAACTCTTAATTTAAGTAAATTTATTTATCGTAAATAAAATTATTTATTGTACACTTACCGTAGTGAAATTTTTAAAACTGATCCATGGAGGCGATAACACAACAATATCATAATCTCATATTCAATTAATCAAAACAACAACTTTCTCTTTTAATTAGCCTACTGATATCCAAGGAGTCCATAGGGATTTTCCTACTACGCATGAACCCATATTCAACATTTTCAATTAACCGATCGTCCTTATACTCCGTCCGGTATGAGCACCAAAAATACTATCCCTCAATATCTCGTTCGGCATGAAGGTGAAACGGACCTTCCCCATACCTCATCCGGTATGAGCACCAAAATACTAATTTTCGATAGCTCGTCCGGTATGAGACAACATTCACGGTAGGGTTTCTTATGTACCTGGTCTATCCACCATCTCCCAGGATATCCAGTTAGACTACCATTCATCCATTCAGTTAATCAAGCAATTTTTCGTTTACATTTAATTTTCCAGTTTTTCAATTTAATTGTAAACTATGCAAAACAAACAATACATGAATCAAACGACACAAACGAATTATCATACCAATTTCAGTATATTATCACGCATTTGAAACTGTAAAATCAATAAGTCAATTAAAACATGATAAATAGTAATAAATAACCGGCTCAGACTCCATTAGTAACATTTAATTATTGATATTTCTAAATCACAC